TGGTAGCATTCATGGCAGTGTTAGTCTTGGAATGTTGTGGTTTTATTGGAGTTTGGTTGATGGGTCATCGTCAAAATATTGAATGTTTTACTTGGGAGATTGCCATGTTAATGCACTTATTTTGATTATGATTGCATCCTGATTTCACCTTTTTAGATTGACATAATTAATTATGTCGATTCCTGCTGGTATGGTAAATTTGAAAAATGCTTTGTCGGAGTTCATTGGAAACTGTGATACCTTTTTCTGTTATTCCTGGATGTATATTTGGAATTGTAATGTATATTCCAGGAGTTCGAGATTTCTTTGCTTTTTTGGGATGACATAAACATCTCTCCCATAAGCTTACAAACATTTCATGATTTGGCAGTATGTTGAGGTTGTCCCCCAGATGGAAAAAGAGAGGCGCCTGGGGCAGATTCTCCAAGCTCAAGAACGTGGTTCAAAGGTTATTATTTTTTGCTCCACTAAGAGATTGTGTGACCAGCTCACTCGCAGTCTTGGACGCAACTTTGGAGCTGTTGCATTCCATGGGGATAAATCTCAGACTGAAAGGGACTGGGTCTTGAGTCAGTTCCGAAGTGGGAAATCCCCGATATTAGTTGCCACTGATGTTGCTGCCCGTGGGCTTGACATCAAAGATATAAGGTCGGTTCTTCTCTCCTTTTGGTGTCTGGAGCCGTTTTATTCAGTAAATGAAATTATTTTTGTTCTTAAAATTTTCTTGCTACAGGGTGGTTATCAATTTTGATTTCCCTACTGGCATTGAGGATTATGTTCACCGAATTGGAAGAACCGGAAGAGCTGGTGCAACTGGAGTGTCTTTCACCTTTTTCTCGGAGCAGGACTGGAAGTATGCTCCTGACTTGATTCAAGTTCTGGAGAGGGCAAACCAGCATGTGCCTCCTGAGGTGCGAGAGATAGCTTCTCGTGGTGGGCCTGGTTTTGGGAAGGATCAAGGTGGAATTAATAGATTTAATTCTGGTGGTAGTGGTGGGCGCTGGGACAATGGAGGCCGTGGTGGAATGAGGGATGGTGGCTTTGGTGGACGTGGTGGAATGAGGGATGGTGGCTTTGGCGGACGCGGCGGTATAAGGGATGGTGGTTTTGGTGGGCGCGGCAGTATTAGGGATGGTAGTTTTGGTGGCCCTGGCGGTAGAGGTGACCCATTTTCTGGACGTGGAAACAGAGGACGCGGATTTGGTGGTCCTGCTGGTGGTCAAGGAGGTTGGGGCAGGAATGAAAGAAGCTTGCATGATCAAAATAATAGTTTTGATGGGAGAGGACGTGGTCGTGGTCGGGGACGGGGACGGTTTGATAACAGAAGAGGCACTGCTGATAGGAGTGGAGGCAGGAGCTATAGCCGAAGTCCTGACATGGTTCGGACATGGCGCCATAGCCGTAGTCGCAGCCGCAGTCGTAGTTGGAGTAGGAGCCGAAGCAGAAGTAGAAGCAGGAGCTGGTCACGTGGCCGTAGCCGCAGCTACAGCCGTAGCCCTCGCCGAAGCTACAGCCGTAGTCCTAGTCGAGGCAGAAGCCATAGCCGTGGTCGCCGCAGTCGAAGCCGTAGCAGAACCTATGACAGATATGACGAACATAACGCCGAGCGGAAGGTTGCAAAGCGGGCATTTGACTCTCCTCCTGCCTCTGACGAACAGAACTTAGAGCAGAAAGATGTTGCAAAGCGTGCATTTGATTCTCCTCCCCACGAACAGAACACTGAGCAGAAGGATGTTGCAAAGCAGGCATTCGTTTCTCCTCCTGTTTCCAGCATGTCTCCTGGCAGACAAGGCACTTTAGTGTTTGAAAATAATTCTGTACAACCATCACAAACGGCTGATAGTGCTGAGCTGCCTCGAGGAGAAGTGGGTGCAGGCCAAGTGCATCAGTCGATGACCGAGCCCTAATCCTGTTTTTGCAGCTAGGCAATAGTTGACGCCGACTAATGGTGGTGCCCTCTTCCTTTAGCGACGATGCAAATGATGTTTCTTAGATCGGATTCGGAAGGGTGAAAATAATAATCAAACCAGCTGCGGCATTACATGATCTGCTGCTGCTTTTGGGAGTTTCTGTTATAGGAGCACTAAACAATATAAGATATTTTAGTATGGTATCCTATCCTCTTGAAGACTTTAATGTTGCCTTGCCTATTCATTTGCATTGGATTTGTTTAACTGCATCATGAATGATTATATTTGTATGAGAATATTTTGGAAATGATTGTTTCTCATAATATAGACCAAGGAACTTGAACTAAATAATCCTGAATCATTCTTTCATTTGTGTTGTTTCATGTATGCATGCATGCATGTGTGTATGCATGTATGCAGGGGAGAAATGAGAAAGGAATTTCACCTTTTTCTGAAAGAAAAGGTGGGGAAGGAAGAATCAACCCATAAAGCCTTAAAGGCACTTGTGTTACTTTTATTCATTCCTAGTGGGTTAAAATTTCGCAAATTATTTATTTATTATTCCACAAACAAAGATAAAAGATTGTTATTATACATAATCAATTTATCTCGATTGTTAAAGGGATCGTTGTTGTTCCTAGAGATTGCGAATTCGAGCACCAACAACTGTAATAGGATGATTGAGCGTTTATTGTTAAATAATTTAGAGTATTTAGAACATATACTATTTTGTAATCATACCTTGGAATCTATTCATTTCGTGACACCTGAGGTGAGTGAGATTAGATTAGATCGTTTTGAGTTCATATTAACTTCTAATTCAATCATTTTAGGTCTGATTTTAAAATGGTTCATCTCAACTAAGATTCATTTTCAGATTTTTGCAGGTTTAGGTTTGTTTGCTTTTTAAGATTAGAGTCAAGTTCATGTTAATTAGGTTAATTTTTTGTGTTTAAATCGAAAGTGTCTTATATAAATTGGTAAAGTACACACAAGTTCCTAAACCACAAAATTTTAAAAATTATAGAATAGCCATTAAATTTATTGGATTGTTCTAAAATTGTCACGTTATGCTATAATGAGAATAAAATCCGATAAATTTAATAATTATTTTATAATAATTCGATAAATTTTAATAATCATTTTGTAATAGCTTGATAAATTTAATGATCATTTTATAATTTAAAAAAAGTTCAATGACCATTTAATCATAATTTAGATACTTCTAGTATACTTTACCCTATCTAAATCCATCCTAAAATTATTATTTTTGGTGAAAAGGTATGATTTCGTTCATAAACAATCATACACAGGGAAGTATTAACACGAGTCTCGTTAAAAATTTCCCTTTTACTTAAATGGAGGGAAAGAGTACCCGTACTAATATTCGATACAATAGATCAATAGGAACACCTGACAAGTAGATTAATTGTGAACGGTATCCTCCTGTAATAACGAATGAAGTCAATCAGGAGACACTGCATGATCAGTAATCTCCAGACTATCCATCCTCACACTCTTAGCCACGTCGGCCACTTTATTGCCCTCGCGCTGAGTATGTTGAATGATCATGTTAGTAGTTAACCATTCATGCAACTCCATGCTTAAAGACGACTCCAATTTAGAAGGCTACACCAGATCAGTCCATGCTTGCACCACTGGCGGACAGCGTTTAAAAACATGGTTAATGTCTTTCACTTGAGCACCGTAAACCAAGCAGCGACAGTCCGTAGGGAAATGCTGTTTACCTCGTTCAGCATTGGTCATCGACTTGCAACAATACACAAGCCAAAGAAAAGTTTTAATTCGAGGTAAACCCCGAACTCTGTGAACAATAGACTACACCGGATTCTGAGTATTGGCCATGGTACCAAACCGTAACAAATATACGGACTTCAACGTGAACAACCGTCCCCGACTACCTTGCCAACCAATCGAGTCTGTGGGCACTATTGGATCCGGCCCCTTAATCGCGGCAATCATAAGCAATACATCGTGAGGGAGAAGGTGATCAAATAAATGCCATTGCCACCCACCTACATTATTAGCGGCTATAGAAGTAAGAGATGTACTCCCAGTAGACGACACAAGCTCAGGATTGACGTACTTAATTAAAGGATCAATATCATCGAGCCAAGTGTCATACCAAAAATCAGTCTGTGTCTGACCCAATAGGCCAAACCAGATTTATACTAACCGCATTCCATATAATACTCAACCCCTTTCACAGTCGAGAACAGTTAGAGTTACGCAGAGACATTGGCACCCCCTTCACCGCACTTGTATTTCGCACGGACAAAACGAACCCCAAAGGGCCTCTTTGCACACAAGGAGATGGAACGCTAATTTCATAAGGAATACCTCGTTGAGAGTATCTATCTTACGAAACCCTAAACCCCCTATCGAAATGAGTCTGCATTCATCATCTCATTTAACCAAATACCTATCCGCGCGTTTAGTATCTAAACTATAGTTTTAATTCGTTTTAGTATTTAAATTTTTATTTTTTTTAAATTCATATCTAATGTTTAGTTTTTGTTTCATTTTAATACCCGTAAAAAACATAACGTTAAGTTTTTAAAAAAAAATAAAAGTTTAGGTACTAAAACGGATCAAAACTGATGTTTAGGTACTAAACGCGTTAAGTTTTTAACAGTAGATACTAAAATGAAACAAAAACTAAATATAAGATATAATTTTGAAAAAAAATTAAAAGTTTAGGTATTAAAATGTATCAAAACTGATATTTTAAGTACTAAACACGTAGTTGAGCCAATAAGTTTTTTGACCTTTTAAGAAAACACATGATTGGACTGTCGCCCAAAACAGTTACAGCAAGTAGCTCTAGTAGGTTAAGCCAACCGACGACGTTTCAAGGGAGTGGCAATTCCGATATTAACGAAACTACTTGCGTCCATTATCGCCATCAGGTAACTCTGGTTTTGCCCTTTTAACCAACGCCGTCTGAACCGCCCTTTCGAACTTTCTCCTGTTACCTTCCTTTATATATATATATATATTAAAGAATATACCGTCTTTTATATATATATATATATATATATATATATATATATATATATATATAGGGTTAGGGTTTGTAATCGAAGGAAATGTTAGAGAAAATTCGTTTCTTTCTCTGTAAGTTTCAGGAATTTTCTTCCAGGTCAACTGAAGCCTAGATTCTTTGATTTTTCCGGTAAAGTTCTCTCTCTTTTTTTTTTACTTTGTACCTCAGAACTTGATTTGTTTTGATTGATTTTGTCATCCCCTTTTTGGCTATAACTGGAGACCGGAAAACTTGAAGTTATTCCTTACAGATTTTATTTGCAGCTCGGTTTTGTGGTGCTTTGGTTGATCTTCTTGTTATTTTATTGGCTTGCTTCTGATGGAATGCGTGTATTTGGAAAAAGGTGTTTGATTCTTTGAGTGTTGCAAAGTTGTTTCTTGGAATTTCTTCAAGTGATTTTGAGAATTGCAGTTGTTTCTTTGGGGGATTTTCAGTGGTTGCTGACTTGTGACGCCTTTTCCCCTTTTCTTGTTCTCTTTATAATTCTAAATCTAATAGCTAAATGGAATCCGCTTCAGCTTCGTGTATTCCATTGCTTACCTTTTTCATTTGTTTTTCTCTAATGTTTTCTTCTTCTACTACTATTTGGTTTTCCTAATCAAGGGATTTCGTTGGTGGGGGTGGGGTGGGGGTTGGTTTGACCGAGTAAGATAGAAAAGCCTCTTTCTTGACCATGTGGTTTGCTTATATGATACCCTTTTTGGATTATATTCTCTTCTCAAGTTAATTGACTGTTGTAATAATGGAATTGTTGTTCTGATTATACTACTGACTTTGCTATGAGTTGCTTTCTCCCCTTCCATGTAGGTATGAGAAGGGAAAAGGGGTTTGCTTGAGATTTGTTACTTAATACTAGGCTTGGTCTATTTTGACTTTCTCTTGTATGTGTAATTGTATTATCAATGACATTTGTGGTGTATTGAGTTTCAGATTTCAAATTCTCAGCTAAATCTGCAAGGCAAGTCCACTTCTTGAACTATTAGAAGCTATGTATCAGGAAGGAGTCCCTGAGATTGTTATTGATCAGGAAATGTACTACCCTACAGATACCAACTATGGATATTATTGTACTGGTAATATAAATGCTTCAATTTTATTGTACATGGTGATGCGATTATTTTTAAAATCTCACGTACACTGTTGATTGCAATTGAATAGGGTTTGAATCACCAGTTGATTGGGAGGACCCCCAGAATATTTTAGTTGCGGATGGTCCAGAAGTCCAATATGTGGTGGGTAAACTAATCCTTTTAACTCTATCATTGATACATTTTTGTAGTTAGACTCAGACGTGCATTCAAGATGAGTTGTTTCTTAGTGATTGTTTCAAATTTGCTTATGGCTTACTTTCTCTTCTTTAGGGGACCCAAACTGAACCTTTGCCTTATGTATATTACACACCTAGCTATGGACATTCACCATCTCCATACAACCCATACAATCCTTACATACCTGGTGCTGTGGTTGGTGACAGCCCATTCCTAGGAGCGCAACAATATTACGCAATTCCCCCTTATCAAAGCCCTGCATCTCCAACTGCCTATGTTCCTGTTTTCATTCAACCAGATGGCATTCCAAATAGTTCGACAGACTCTTTGTTAGATACTCGTGCATCGGTTGATACTAGACCTGATGGAAGAGGAGCTAAATATAACCTTGCTACAGCATCTGCTGCCCTTTCCAGAAAATCTGCTCCAAATCAGGCAGATTCCTTGAGCAGGGTGACCGATGGACAAAGTAAGCATTATGCGGTCCAGAGAAGCATTCCTGATAGTTCTGGGTCAGCTTCAGCACGGGCTCATCGGGTACAAATGCTTAGTTTCTATTTTACATTTATATTGAATAGGTTTTTTTTTTTGATGTAAATGCTATCTGGCATTTCTCTATGTACCCCATTTGAAGGTTCTCATACTAATTTATCTTTGCAGGCTAGAGTTGCTTCTGGTTCCATTCAGCCCATTGGCATCATTCCTGGTGGGAAACCTCCATCTTACCGTGATCAATTAAAAACGGACCTACCAGTTGGTAATGCCATTTCTGACTATGGAGTAAATGCATGTGGACGTGGTGATCTGGATAAACTTCGACCGAAGATCCATGTTGGCAGGGTTTTCAATGATGCAAATGGCTTCCCAGATAAATGGGCTGAACAGAATCGAGGTCCTAGAACCAACAGATCAAAAAACCAACTTGTGGTTAAAGCCTACACAAGTGAAGCAGGAAATTGTGATGCCGAAGGCAGCATCATTATCTATACTGACCAATATAACAAGGATGATTTTCCAGTGGACTATGCTGACGCCAAGTTTTTTGTAATAAAATCTTATAGCGAGGATGATGTACACAAGAGCATTAAATACAATGTTTGGTCCTCTACACCCCATGGGAACAAGAAACTGGAGAATGTTTTTGAAGATGCGCAGAAAATAGCTGCAGGGAGACATAACAGCTGCCCAGTCTTCCTCTTCTTTTCTGTGAGTGTTGTACCTGGTTGGCTATTAGGGGACTTGTGTCAATTTTAACCCGTTTTAGATTTTTGTTAACAGGAAGTAGTCTTTGTGATTATATGGTACTTTGTCCATGCAGGTTAATGCCAGTGGACAATTCTGTGGTGTAGCGGAGATGATTGGTTCAGTTGACTTCCAGAAGGATATGGATTGTTGGCAGCAAGATAAGTGGAGTGGAAGCTTCCCTGTCAAGTGGCACATCATTAAAGATGTTCCAAACGGCCAATTTAGACACATCATATTAGGGAACAACGAAAACAAGCCAGTAACTAATAGCCGGGATACACAAGAGGTATGTTCAGAGCTTTATCTTTCTATAAAGGCAAACAATAAATATCTAACGTGGATTACTGTTTTCTTGAAAACTTCATTTCTCCTATGACCCAACATTCCTATGTAGGCTTGTGAAGTTCGAATTGTTAACTCCAAGATTATGATCTTGATGATACCATGCTATTTTTGTTTCTTATAAAATTTATGTCAATGCCAGATAATGTACGTGCAAGGTACGGAGATGTTGAAAATATTCAAAAATCATGTGATGAAGACCTCTCTCCTTGACGACTTTTTGTACTATGAAAATCGTCAGAGAATCATGCAGGAAGAGAGAGCCATGCAGCTAATTAAAAGTTTGGAGAGCCCGGTCCTACCACCTGCGAGTGCATTCAATCCTGCCAATAAGCTAAACCACGTTAAGCTACTACTAAATGAAAATGAGAGAAGTATCAAGCAAAGGGATCCTGAATTATCGAGGACAATTGTTCCTTCATCTAGTCAGCAGGTTCCTTCGACTAATTCGAGATCAACTAACGGAAGCTTAGAGCGAATTGCAGCTGAAGCTGAAGATGATGCATCTAATTTAATGATTAGCTCTCTCAGCATAAATTCAAATCAGGATGAATCTAAATTCTCTGCAAGTGCTGCTACAAAAACTGATGCTGTTGAGGTGGTTAACTTCGGATCAGTGACTGTAAAAGTCAATAGATTTACTGAATCACCTGGTTTTCTAACTGTTGGTACTATTCCTCTTAATCCCAAGACCCTCCAGCTTGATGAAGGGTGTATTTCTGCTAAAAAGGGTACATGATTGCGCTGAGGCAGTGTCTACAGTCGGATCTTATTCTCCGCTGGAACATACTGAAACCTGGTGTAGTGATGGTGGCAGTGTCGACTGTTGCAAACCTGAGTGTATCATCATGGTTCGTTGTTACAGGCTGGTAATCTATAAATAACATGTTCAGGTCAGCTTTTGCATGCTGGTTCTGTTAGCCCCTTAATTACCCAAGCTGGCTCCAAATCCATCAATACTCAATACAGTGTTTCCTTTTGTCTCTGAATAAGTTAATATTTTTCATTTTGCATTTCAATTATTGATACAAAGAAAATCCTCTTTTGCTTTTAGAAAAACATGGGAGATGATGCACTGCAATTGTTTCCTTTATTACCCCCTTTTTGCATTCGTCATTTGTATTGCTAACATTGTTATATTTGATCGTGCATTTGTATTTTTACTTATTCTGTTAAATAAAGGTGAAACTCTGCTTTTGGTCCTCCTATTGTGCTTTATCTTTGTATTTTAAATATGATCTTTATAATTTTAAGGTCGATTGGCACAGTGTGGTGAGTTGAGTGCAATGCCACATGCTGCTCGTCATGGTTCCACATCCGTTGCCTGGCGCAACTATATTTACGTCCTCCGGGGATCATGGTTTCGTGGGCTCCACATGTCCCGATGGCAAGGAATCCACTCCGATCACCCTGAACATGAGAAAAGACGACGGATATGTTCTTTGGCTCGTTTCGTCAAGATTTCCGATAATAGCTGTGAATTTTCGTCTTTCCCCTCTTATCTCAATATGGATCCTCGATTTGTATATTACCACTAGGGGTGAGTAAAACTCGACTTGACTCGAAAAATCAAATTTTTTAATTTCGAGTTACTCGACTTGACTCGAAAAATCAAAATTTTCAATTTCGAGTTACTCGAGTAACTCGAAATTAAAAAAATTCGAGTAACTCGAATTATCAATTCAGTTTTTGAGTTCCAGTCGAGTTGGAATTTTGAGTTACTTGAGAAACCGAAAATTTGACTAAGTATTTTGACAGTTTTATGATTTAGTCTATGATTTCATTATTCATTCAATTTCTCCTTCATTTTAAGTCTATTTTTTTTTACTAAATATGAATAACATGTCCCTAAAACATCGAAGAATATATATGTATTTTCAATTCTTCTTTTTGATAGCAAATTTTTTATATTTTAATTTAGTATTTCAATTTTTCGTAATTTTCGTATTTCTTCAATTCATGTTTTATTGTAAGTCCTTTTTTTGAACCACATGCTCCTATAGCACAATAGAATACCTATATAACTTCAATTCTTACCTTTTTTTATAAAAAATATAGTCTTTTCTTATTTAGTTCCTTAACTTTGTATTTTACTCAATTTGATCTTTTGACTATATTTGTTTGCAAATTCTTTCTTTCTATCAATTCTTTGATCCTTTATACTCTCATCAGTATTTTACTTTCAAAATAGTTTCTTTAAAATATAATATTATGAATATATTTTATAATTTTATATTTTATCTGATATATTAAATAACATTATAATGCGAAAAGAATATAAACTATATCGAAACTCGAATAACTCGGGTCTTAATTTGTGTAAAATTTCAAAGCATCTATTGTTTAAATATATAAGAATCCAAGTGTCCAAGTAGTAATGTAGTATCTCAAAATTCAAGTCGGTAAAATTAAATCTCTACTCGAATAGTTGATTTAAATTTCTTTATTATTTTTCTGAACAATTTCTGAATTAAAATGATTTTCTGAACACTAAAAAATGATTTTTTTTAAATAACACATTGACTAAAATGTTCCTATTTTTTTTTATTAAATAATCATTTTGGAAAAAATCGTTTGTTAACAAATGATCAATATTTTAAAAATAAAGATCTTTTTACTTTAAAATAAAATATTATAGGCCAAAATACAAAAAAAATGAGTTACAATAATTATTTAGTCAAATTTTAGGAGAACTTTAGCATTATGCTTAATATCTATTGATAGTTTAAGATGAATTTAGAATGTTCAAATACTCGGGATCAATTTAGAGCTAGAGTCACAATCTAGGGATGAAATTGGAATGATATTTAAAAGTTTAAAGATTAATTCAAAATGAGTATCATAGTTTAGGGACGTTTGATATAATTAACTTTGTTTATTCAATGCGCTATTTTATTCATCGTACTTTTAATTTTTTTCAATTTACTCACTGAACTTTGGACATTAAACTTTTTTTATCACTCCACTGTTAATTTTGTAATAGCGTTATGACATGGAATGCATAAATAATTTTTAAATCATATGAAAATATCACAAATGACATTAGAAAAAAATGATAAACTATTTTTACTTTTTCATTTTTACTTTTTTATTTGTACTCTTTCCCCCTTTCTCTCTCAATTTCTCTGGTTTTTTTGGGGGTTTTCTATGGTTTTCTTCCTTTTTCTTTCTCCATTTCTCTTCATTTTTACTATTTTCTTCTTCATTTTTCTTCCCTCCTCCTTCTTTATTTTATTATTTATTCTCTCATTATTCTATGTTTGCTATCTTGAAAGTTAAAATATATTGATAGAAAAAAAATGGAAAAAATTTCAACAATGGAGAAAGAGAAACAAATTTCTCTCTTCCTCTAGAAATGGTGGATACCCCATAAAAGGACCATATCACCACCCCATTCTTTAAGTTTGACGTACACATTTTATTCAACTATTTAATTTTTTTTTGGAATTTTTGTAAATTTTAATTTTTAATTGCTTTCTTATCCACTGTTGATGATTTTTTGTTTTTGTGAGAGAATTGATCTTCATCTTTTCTAGATTTTATCTTTAATTTTTTGGTTTGTTCCTTCTGATAACGGGGAAAGATTGTGAAGAAGGTGTGAGAGTGAAGAAGATCGGGGAATTGCTCATTTAGATTTTGGCTTTAACTTGCTTAGAATCCATGATTTTTTGTTGCATTGGTTTAATCCAAAATGTTTTTTTCCTTGAGATTTATTTCGTCAAACACTGTATGTTCAAATGAGATTAGGGGAGAGATGGAGAGATGAGGAATGATGAAGGAAAGAGCTAAAATTTTAAAATATATTTTTTATTTAGATTAAAATTATGTCATATTGATCTAGATTTAATTTTTTATAGAATCCAAAACTATATCGTTTTGGTGTTTTTCTACATCATCACATCGTTACAAAGAAAACGGTCGAGTGATAAAAAAAAATCAATATATAAAGTTCAGTGAGTAAATTGAAAAAATTAAAAGTATGGTGAGTGAAATAGGAAAGAGAGTGAAGTTAAGTGAATAAGCATGTACTTTACCCATATTATAATTAGAGATTTATCCCTAAAATCTAATTTATCTCATTTTTATCTCTGATTACGTATGTATTTTTATTTTCATCTCCCTCCTCAAGCCGCTCTTCTTTCCCCCGGCCATCGGCTCAGCTACAGTGGAACTCAACCTCATCACATCACTCATCTTTTACTTCTGCTTTGTTTTTTTTCTGTCGCTCAATCCCACTTTTTATCCCCTTCAATTGTGTTTAGTCCGGTGACCGATCGGATAAAAAAATTGAAGTTTTTAAATTTTATTTTCTTCAAAAAAGGGGAAATTTCGAGACACGCATGGTTTTTTTGCATTGCATAAACATGACTGTTTTGCACTCTTTTTCCCCTATTGATTTTGAAGCTGATCTGCTACTGCATGTATTTCTCAGCAGCATTTAATCAGTACCCAGAATTCTATTTTGCTTAAAGATCCTTCGACATGTCGAGATATATAAATGGGAAAGGTTCCTCCAACCAGGAAGGGAAAAAGCAGCCAATAGTGCCGAAGCCTGAAATGTTGGATTTTGATTTCGCTGAGGATGCACTCATTTCTCAACATGTTGGGGTATGATTTCTCTTTGAATGTCCTTTTTTTAAAGTAATTTCCTTGTAATCTCTGTTGCAATTGCATGAAAAAAAATTCCCATTGAATCTTTTCCCTTGCTGTTTTCTTTGCATATCTTTAGTTCTGAGTATAATGTAATGGATGTCAATGTTGGTAGCTAAAATGGGCTTAAATTCAACAGAGCTTCTGTTTCGTTTCTCTTTTATTACATGATTTCAGGACAATGTTGCATGTTCATCGGGAAGCAATGTGAGATCATTTTTCATTGGGATGGGATTTTCACCATCTCTCGTTGACAAAGTCATTGAAGAAAAGGGTATGTAATGCATTAACATTCATCCTAAATAATGTCATTAAAAGCCTAAAGTTTCATCGTAGAAGGAAAGTTCTTATAAAGCATCTTGTCTTAAACTAGGTGAAGATGATGCTGACTTGTTACTGGAGACTCTTACTGAATATTCTGTAAGTAATAAGACATTATACGGTCTCCTGTCAGATTTTCTTTTGGCATTAGAGAAGAACTTTTCAAAGTAGTCCTCTATCTTGTTTCATTTCAATATATGATTTTCTTTTGGTTTAAAAACTAATTATTATTTTTTGGAGTTCCTGTGAAAATCTTTCTTCATCATCATTCTATGTCTCACAGTTTCATTGACCATTGTTGTTTGTGAATGCGGAGAACTGAGAAGCACACGACATCATGAGCTCAACCATGTTGTTAGTGGCTAATTTGCAGTTTCAACGCATGAATTTTTGTTCTTTAAGATGAAAACTCTTAACTGCTTAATGTGGCCTTCTCTGGAATGAAATAGGACGTTCAAAAGGAAAATTCTCAGACATCAGGCCATCTCAATAACTCGTTTGTTGGCGAGGACGAAGGAAGTTATCCCCAGATTTACAATTATATTCAACCAAAAGATGTAAGTTGCTCTTAATAGATCTTCTTGTTTTCCCCATCGGACAAGATAGGGGTTCATATTCATTGTCTTGGGCATTTTACTCTCTTGTTCTTGTTGTTGCATATAGTTTCTTTGTTAATACTTAGCAAGTTACTATTATTCTATAGATTGGAACTAGTCATGCTACATCGATTCCCCTTTTCTCATATACATTAAAGATACAAAGGAAGAAAGATGTAGACCAAAGTGTTGTGATATGAAGAATACTAATCATTCTATCACAAGATTATTTGAGCAGATATCAATGGAACTTTGAATTTTATGGCTTTGGAGACAGTAGTAAATCTATCCAGTTTAGTCCCTTTTCAGAACAAAATGTTTTGAAAAATGTACATTTTGGGGTATTTGTGAATAGGCTTTGAGACCTGGACCAAATTATGAATTTGTTATAATCCCTTCTTTTGAGACTATTCTTTCCCTTTCTGTCTTCCGAGTTCTTGTGGAGCCAGATTCGTTCCCTCTCCCTTCTCACTTATAGACTCGTGGGTGTTAAAAATTTGATATTTGCTCAATACCCAAGAGTTTTCAGTATTGTATCTGCCAATCTTTATTATAATTTGTACTGTATATACTTTTTTGTTATATTTAAACAATTTATCTTACCTACCATCTCTTATCTCTTCTTCTTCTTCCTTTTTTTTATTTTTATTTCAGGAGCCAGATGTATTTGATGATGAAGATCTTATTGACAAAAGATCATCTTTACTGATGATGCATTTTCTGTAGATGAAGTCGAGTTTGCATTGGATAAGCTTGGTTCGTAGAAGTTTTCTAGAAGCATTTTACCTTTGTATTTCCAATTGCTCTTTCTTCTATTTATGTTTTTGCTCCTTGGTTCAATCATTGTTGTCATTCGAAACATTATTTTCTGTTCCTCGTATCCTTTTGATGAACTTTAATGAGGAAGTAGAGTGAATAATTCACATTATTTGAGGTTTGTTAATGTATCTTCTTGTTGTTTTTCACCATTCTAATTTCAGGTGAAGATTCTCCCATAAATGAATTAGTGGACTTCATTTCCGCTGCTCAAATAGCAGAAGAACTTGAGGAGGAATCAGAAGATTCACTCGGCTGTGGGGAAGAAAACGACCAGTTTTTACTGAATGAATTTGTTATACTAATTGGTCTGTCAACAGCTTCTCCCTTTTACAACATTTTTTTATGTAGTTTTTCGTTTCACCGGTTCAAGTTCTGAATGAAATTGGTGATGATGATCTTATATATTTATACCTATAATATTTCTGGAAACATTAGGATAATGTAATAAATAACTCTGAGTATAATAAGATTCAATTTCTTTGTTTTGTTGCATTTCTAGAGTAGCTAATAACTTTTCCATGCGATCACCAGAATGATACTAATGAAATTTTGTTTGGGACAATGGAGAAGACACTTTCTTTGCTTGATATGGGTTTCTCCGAGAACGAGGTTTCAATTGCGATTGAAAAGTTCGGTGAGTAGTTATTCTGACAACACCTTTTAAGTGATCATGAATGTCATTTGGCATATAGAGTCCGTAAATATATAAAGCATACTATGTATTTCTTAATCTCGGAGCTGGTTATGTTACATCTGCAGGGTATCATTTCCTGCTGTTAGCTTGTGATTAAAAATGCACTTCATGTTTTGACGTCTCGGTTACTTATTTAAATAGTTTGTAATTGCTAGACGAGCTTTTCCGAGATGCCTTTTAGGGGTTTTAATGTAAAGAAGTCTTTTCTTATTTATGTTTACAAATATTCCTGCCTTTGTTTTATAGTTTATAATTTGCATGATTGGTGCCCTTTAGTACTTATTTAACCTGTAGATGCCGATCAATTCACTTGCATTTTTTTCATTACAAGAGGACCTCTGTGTTACTCAGCTTACTTTGGATGTTGAATTGTTGGTTTTTTTTGGGTTGTTCTGCAGGTTCCGATGTTCCAATTACAGAACTTGCAGATGCCATGTTCACTGGTCATCTTTCTCGTAGCTATGTCGAAAGTAAAAAGGTTTGTTCATTGTAGTATTTGAATGTTGAATATTCTAGTTGATATGCTCCATTTCAGTGCATAATGCGCATTGTTATGCACTCATTGAAGTTCTATCGGAAAAAAAAAGTTCCGCTCGGACTTTTTAAAAACTTTTGTACTTTATTCCACAATATTATAGCCAGTTTAGCCTGTTTTCATGGTAAAGGAACTTTTACATTGTCATTGCAGTTAAAGTTGGCAGCTTCAGGCCGTGGGTTGATGCATAATGTGGATGATAAAGCAGAAATTAAAACCGAGGATTGCAGTTCCGCTGCTGTTCCTCAGTCGGGAAATATCAACCTTGGGGAATCTTCTTCAAACGGGAAAAGACCGAAAGAAGAGAGTCTGGATGATGTCCCGGTTCCTAATCCTCCGAAGAAGCAATCTCTTAATGAGAAAAAACGCGAAGGGAAGAGACCGAAGCAAGCCTTTGTAGATAATGCAAGTCCTTTCGTTGATCCAGCATGGCTTGAAGAGAAAATAGGCCCTGATTTTACCCCTAGTTTCGAGATACCCAGAACTTTCAAATCCAATTCGTGCAAGACTGTGAACAAGGCAGTAGCGAAAGCGCCGTATTTCCTGTATGGAAATGTTGTCAACTTGCCTTATGATGGTTGGATCAAGATTTCACAGTTCTTGTACGGGATCGAGCCTGAATTCGTGAATACTCGGTCCTTTTCGGCTTTTAATAGGAACGAAGGCTATGTACATAATCTTCCAGCCGAAAACAGGCTTCACATCCTTCCAAGGTCACCGCTGACAATACAGGATGCGATACCGCATATAAAGAAGTGGTGGCCATCTTGGGATACAAGGAAACAACTGAATTGCATGGGGTCTGAAGTTCTCGGAGCGTCTACGTTGTGCGATAGGCTTGGGGGCATATTATCCAGTTCTCGAGGAATACTCACAGCGGAGCAGGAGAAACATATTCTTCGTGAATGCCAAAAATCGAATCTCATTTGGATCGGTCTATACAAGCTTTGCCTCGCGCAGCCTGAACATTGGGAACGCATACTTGGCTACCCGTCGAACCACACTCAAGCTTTGGAGAATGACTTGACTCGAAGGCTACACCTACTCCAGGAATCTTTCCAAACCGACACCTTGGGTTATCATCTCTCCGTATTGAAGCCAATGTATCCCGGAGGGTTAACGATGTTATCTGTTTTCAGTGGCATCGGTGGAGCTGCAGTCGCTTTACATCGGCTCGGCATCCGCTTGAAAGGCCTTGTGGCGGTAGAGACTTCAGAAGTAAAGAAAAAGGATTCTTCAGAGCTGGTGGCAAAAGACGGGACAAACCGGGGAGTTGGTGATCATAGAAGACATCCAAAAGCTAACGAGTAAAAGACTGGAGAGCCTGTTAGATAAGCTCGGAGGTATCGACCTGATAATCTGTCAAAACTCGAACGTGAAAAGTATGAATGAAGATACTTTACCAGGTTTCGACTTCTCGATGTTTAACGAATTTGTTCGTGTATTGCAACGTGTAAGAAGTATGATGCAACGGAGGAGCGGCGGTAGTAGTACCGCGGCTAACTCCGATGTCTGATCCTATGTACTTGTTATAATCTTAAAATGTTAAAAGCAGGAGAACCTCTAGTCTCGTACTGGCTTGCTTAAATCAAATAAACCGTGGCTGAACATGTTTGGTTCACGATTGAAAAAATGGAATTTAAATTGAACCGGTTAGGTTTTCGGATCGATCGAATTGAGCTCGAAAAAATTAAATTTAAAATAATAAAAAATCATTGAGGGCTAAAACATAAAGAAAATACAGAAAAACTGGGAATTTATATTTATAAGAAGAAAAGGATGGAAATGAAATAAAATATAGTAAAAGACATACCTTGTAAAATTAATAATCAATTTTAATTGATTTTTTGGCTGGTTCTCTAATTTTTAAGTTTAATTTATTTATTTGAAAACTAGGCATGTGGCTTGTGGGGAAAGTTATTTTTTTTTCAAATTGGGACGAGACCAGTTGAAAACTTTTATTTTTTTTAAATCAAAGATTAAAAGATTAAAAAATTAATTTATTTCGTCTTGTTATCATCTCTAAATCAATATAATTTATCTTTCTGAATAAATAATTTGATTCAAGTCATAAAATTTATCTTGTTGTAGTTTGTGGCGGATGCAAAGCATATTCTGATGGGTAATAGTTCATTTTGGAATCTGAATTTCTTTATATTAGTTGTCCATTTTATTAGGGGTGACTCTTATATTTAGGGTGACTCGGTTCTAGAAGACTCTTTGTAACACCCCCAACCCGTATCCGATCCGGATGCGAGTCCGAAGTGTCACATTGACTTTTCAAACATTTATTCGTATAAAATAGTGAGTAATTTAAAAACTTTGATAACATTTAACTTATTCAAAACGTTTACAAAATATATATCAGAGTTCATACAATTTATGTCTTTAGACTACATGCCAACTACACTCTATATACAGTACATATATTTTCTGATCTGACAATTGGGTAAGGAGAACTGACCTGTCTTGCTCCGCATTACTCTTTACTCTTCTCGAAACCTACGTGTGAAACAATCACACGCTAAGTCGAAGACTTAGTGAGGCATAATAACTTATAATGCACTTTATAACATATATCGATACATGCATGTTCTGTTCTATCATGTTATACCAATTCAATGCATTCTTCGTATCATATAAAATCATATCAGATTAATTACAGTAAATACATACATACACATAATTCATCATATGGTTCACGTAACACATTTCAAACCACTTATAAACCCATCGTATACATATCACATTCAGTATGCTTGTTTAATCACTTTATTAGCCCATGTACACTAGTGAGAACTTAAGGTATGTGAGTACATTGAGGTTGTGCACATATATGCTGTCACCACAGCTCGATCAATGTCCCGAAGGACCAGTCCATAGATTCCGAAGAACCTAGGTAATCAGTCCATATGTCCCGAAGGACATAGGTAAACAGTCCATATGTTCCGAAGAACATAGGTAAACAGTCCATATGTCCCGAAGAACATAGGTAAACAGTCCATATGTCCCGAAGAACATAGGTAAACCCTCGACCCTTGGCATGCCAACTATACCCCTAGCTCTCATATCACATAACATGGGCATTATCATTTATAACAGTTCACATTACTTATTCATATTCTTTCTCTTATAACCACATATCTTTTCTTTTCAGTCACGTATCACATGTACGTGTAATCATTGATCTCATAACATATACTTGTTTTCACATATATATTTCATATCATTTCACATATACACTTTCATATCACATGCCATATAAGCTCATAGCTTCTTTCACATATACATGTAGTCACATAGCTTCTTTTCATATTCTCATAGGATCACATAGTTCATATCTTATACTTTGTTTTCTCATGTTCACATATATCATGTCATTCATATACGTATAATCATATATTCATGCATTCTAACAGAGGAAATAGACTTGTCGCAAGTCTTGTTTCCATTTAGCACCATAAACTAATTAATATACACTCACCTGGCCTCACTAGCCAATTCAAATCTCTTATCTTTCCCTTGATCGATCTTACTTGCCAAATGTTCCGGAATTTCTTTATGCGTAGAATCTACATAAATGTACATTTCGAGACAATCAATAGATACCTACACCTTGTAATTGGATACTATCAATTTAAATGAACTTATTAAATCCATATTCCCAATTTTCCTTTAGGGGGAATCGGTTCCCCCCCCCATGGGGGTATCGGTTCCCCTATGACATACTAGAAATTCTTGTTCGTTTGAAGGGGTATCGGTTCCCCTTGAATGGGTACCGATTCCCCTTGCCCAGAAATCATATTTTCAACCCGAAAATTACTTCATTTCCACTCAAACACTTCATATATCATCCCCTTTTCATCCTTAACTCTAGTACACATACTTAAACCAATCTATATTCATTTATTTCATCTTAAACCTCAAAATCCTATATTCCATACGAGATTCAAAAATCATACCAAATTTTCAATGTGTTCTAATTCCAATTCTAACACCTTATACTTCTTAATTAGATTGATGACAAGTCAAATTCATCCTTAGAATTTCAAAAACCTTTCTATATCAAAACTTCATTTCTACTCTCTTAATAGAAATCTCTTTCTAATTCTCCCTTCTTGATGTTTTAAGTTTATACAAGCTTTCCTTAAGCTTATATAACCCCCAAAGATTCAAAACCAACTTATAAATTCCAGAAATTAACAGTTAAAAATCAAACTTACCTTTAAGCTGGGCTACGAGAAGAAGAAGAAAAGAGCAAGAAGAAGGCTTCCAGAACTCTCCCAAAACCCACGTATATCACCTGTATTTAAAGGAAAATACAAAATATCCTTTAATCTGAAAAGACTAAATTACCCCTTTAATTATCCATCTATGCTATTCAATCCATCATCAAAATTCTTTACTTAAATCCCAACACTTTTAACTTATTTCAAAATTGAGCACTAAATTTCCCAAAATTTACATTTTAGTCACTGACCCGGCTTTCGGGATGTTACAAATCTCCCCTCCTTATAAGAAAATTCGCCCTCGAATTTTCACTGAACATCTTAGTAAGAACATATCTTCCAATGTTCTTATGTTGCTTCCCTGACTTATTCTTTCTCGTCATCATCGGAAACTTACTTTTCAATCCTTAAGTTTTCGACTATCTTTTTCGTTTATACCTTCATCTTCTGTTGTTTATCATATAAACAATAACCAGTAATACCAATCCATTGTTGTTTTTTTCTCTCATTCGATTATGCATTTTTCCTTTGACCTTTCTAAAATTCCATATAATGTCACTCATCACGTTGACAGTAACATTCATCTCATCACTCTATATCAAAACTATCCTCTGTACTTCCATACTTATCGTATCTGATTCTTTTAAATCAATCCCTTTCATTTCTTTACTCCTTATTCCTTATACATAAATCATATATTTCCTTTCATATTCACACTCTTGTCTTATCACTTATACTCATCTTTATGTACCAATCTTCATTGCATCCTCATTACTCTGATAACCCATTTCTTATACATAACTTCATTCTTTATCATTTCTTATACTTGTATTTTCCTTCCTGAAGGTTCCATGCAAATACTTATCTCTGTTTCTACATCATAGCTATCTGCTCAGAATATACAATTATATTCAAATTCATATCATAATCAATTAACTCCACTTTATCTTTCCTCCAATCTTATAACTCTAGCACCTTTACTCTGACAGCTAGATAATAACTTTGGTTCAGTCTAGGGCACAAGCCCTCTTATACCAATCATATACATTCTTTCCAATCTAAATTATCTTAACATTCGCTTACTCAACTTATCAATTTCACCTCTATTCTCATACATCCTGAAATTTCTTTTACTCAAACTCAACATTCTGACTTCCTGTGTCCTATAATCTGATCATCGATATACATATTCTCAAACTCTTCTTATCAATCCTCAGCTTTACTTAAATACAAAAATTCTTACTTCCTTTTCCTTTACTATACCACATTACTATGATCCAAATATGCAACTGTATCCAGATCCATTACGGATTTGGTTCTCATATCCTGACAATATCTTATAATCTTATAATTCCAGTACATTTTTATCACATACTCTTGTTAGCCAATGCTAACTCTTTCCCTCTAGAATACAAACTCTTTTACAAACAATAACCGCGTCACTTGATCTTTTAATATCCTTATGGTGACACTCGTTCACCATATTCCCTCTTATCCACATAATAACAAGCTTCTCAATTTAATTTCTCCACTATGGAGAAATGAACATCTTCTAGCATTATCTTCATATCATATCCAAAGGTCTGTAACAACAGAGTCTTCCTCAAATTCACCCTTGAGATCGGGTGCTCATAACTCTTTTAACTATTTCGATACATTCATTCTATGAGTTAACAAAGTATAAAATTTAAAATACATCAGAATATCATTCAACATCATGAATCATTCTCTAATCTTATACAGGCATTCCCTGAGGTTTTCGCTCTTCTCCCTGCCTGGCCAGGGCAGGTGAATGCTATTACCTTCAGGTCTATCGCCTTGTGCTTCACTTTGGAAGCTCTCATATATTTATATGCTCATATCATTACTTCTATCAGATATCACATGTGCATATGCTCATCCAATTCATATTGTATAACATATGTCAATTGCATATGTTCACATGTCATCCATCATATCATATAAACATATATATAGATTTCATAAATCATTCTTAGTATTCACTTATCTTATATAACATAACAATTTAACTCTATCAGCAAGACATCACACTCCTTATCCTATCAGATCAGAAATATTTTTTTTTTCTCACTTTGTGTTGGCATGTACACTTTTTAAAACACTTTCGACTTCGTTTTTAGCCTAGAATCGGCTAAACCATAGCTCTGATACCATTAAATGTAACACCCCCAACCCGTATCCGATCCGGATGCGAGTCCGAAGTGTCACATTGACTTTTCAAACATTTATTCATATAAAATAGTGAGTAATTTAAAAACTTTGATAACATTTAACTTATTCAAAACGTTTACAAAAT